AAGAATTTCAGTCAGGTTTCAGGCCCCACCATAGCACAGAAACTGCACTTCTTAAAATTACAAATGACTTGCTTCTTGCGTCAGAAGAAGTTTTACTTGATCTTAGTGCTGCGTTCGACACTAGTGAAGTGAAGTGACATGTGGCCAAGTATGGTGATCCATACTCGGAATTAGTGCTCTGCATTTATCCCATCCCTAAGTGCACACACACAGCAGTGAACACACACACCGTGAACACACACCCGGAGCAGTGGGCAGCCATTTATGCTGCGGCGCCCGGGGAGCAGTTGGGGGTTCGGTGCCTTGCTCAAGGGCACCTCAGTCGTGGTATTGAAGGTGGAGAAAGTGCTGTACATTCACTCCCCCCACCTACAATCCCTGCCGGTACGAGACTCGAACCCGCAACCTTTGGGTTACTAGTCCGACTCTCTAACTATTAGGCCACGACTTCCCCCTATAGATCATGACATACTCATAGATCGATTACAAAACTATACAGGTATTCAAGGGCAGGCTTTAAGATGGTTTAGATCCTACCTGTCCGATCGCTACCACCTTGTTCATTTAAATGGGGAGTCATCTCAATTATCACCAGTAAAATATGGAGTGCCACAAGGATCTGTCCTAGGTCCTCTGCTATTTTCGATATACATGTTGCCACTTGGTAATATTATTAGGAAATACGGGATTAGTTTCCACTGTTATGCCGATGATACTCAACTATATATCTCAACAAGACCAGATGAAACTTCTAAATTATCTAATATATCTCAAGATGAAACTTCTAAATTATCTAAACTAACAGAATGTGTTAAAAATGTAAAAGATTGGATGACCAATAATCCAATAATTTTAAATTCGGATAAGACAAAGATATTACTTATTGGACCAAAAGACAGGACGCCGAATCTCGTGGATTACAATTTACAACTAGACGGATGCACGGTTACTTCCTCTACAGTCAAAAATCTGGGTGTTACTTTAGATAGCAACTTGTCTTTTGAAAATCATATTTCCCATGTTACAAAAACGGCATTCTTCCATCTTAGAAACATTGCCAAGTTACGAAACATGATACCTGTTTCTGATGCAGAAAAGCTAGTTCATGCATTCATGACCTCTAGACTGGACTATTGTAATGCACTGCTAGCTGGTTGTCCTGCATCTTCAATAAACAAGCTACAGATAGTCCAAAATGCAGCGGCTAGAGTCCTTACCAGGTCAAGAAAATATGATCATATTACCCCAATTTTACAGTCTCTGCACTGGCTACCTGTTAAGTTCCGTATCAGTTACAAAATATTATTACTTGCCTATAAGGCCCTTAATGGGTTAGCTCCTGCGTACCTAACTAGTCTTCTACCACGCTACAATCCATCACGCTCCCTAAGGTCGCAAAACTCTGGACTTTTGGTAGTACCTAGGATAGCAAAGTCCACTAAAGGAGGTAGAGCTTTTTCGCATTTGGCTCCCAAACTCTGGAATAGCCTTCCTGATAACATTCGGGGTTCAGACACACTCTCTCTGTTTAAATCTAGATTAAAGACACATCTCTTTGGCCAAGCATTCAAATAATGCATCTCATAATCTTTTACTGCAGTCATAATCTTTTACTGCAGTTATATCTAATCAAATGCACATTATTATTCATTAGTTTGGGTTAAACAAATCATTTTTGCTTGGTTGGAACAGCAGCTACGCTAATTATGTTTGTATTTGTTTCTCTGTCTTTTGCCACGGGATTAACATCCCGTGGTAACTAGGATTCACACAAGCTTCAGTCTGGATCCAGAACACCTGAGAAGAGAAGATGCAACCCCTCAGAGGACCTCAGATGATGCCAACCCTGAAACAACATACAGAACTACCACATTTTGCTATAAGTTTGATTGCATCATATAATAATTGCTGTTAATATTATTCATCGTCTGTTTTATTACATCTTAAATGGATTTTTCCATACATTTCTGCTATATGTACATTAACTGACAGTCACCACTGATAAACTACCACTAAATATTGTAGAAACTTAATTGACTGTAAAGTTGCTTTGCAATGATTTGCATGGTGAAAAGCGCTGTACAAATAAACTTGA